TCCTTCGTTAATATTCTGTTTCTCAAGCTGTTTTCTGAGATATAAATATCCTATTAATCGCCTGAATGCTTTCTTAAGCTTTGAATGTAACACAGAGCACTTAGTAAGTTACTTTAGATGAAATGCCTCTATTCTCTTTTATAACTTTTGCGTTTAAGAGATTCTTTTTTTTTTTTTTTTTTTTTTTTTTAATTTTTTTTTTTTTTAAATTGACAGAATACCAAAGTGATTTAGACAAAAATAAGGGGGGGGAGGATTTACCAATACTAAAGACATTTATGTATATAAAAAAAAAAAAAATTGCAATGATTGATAAGTGTTTATTTGTTCAAATTTTGCTTTCCATCGTCATATAATTTTGTTCGTATTCTTGATCTTGATTCGTTAGAAAATGTTGGTTTTTCTCTTCAGTAATGCTCTTAATTGGAATTGATGTCATCCTCATCTGATGCCCACTCACGTACTTCTAATGAGATTTCAAGCAAAATATTATTATTTTTCTGACATTTATTCATGACTACGTTCGCAAATAATCATACATTTTTCATAAATTTACTATAAAATCGAATAATAATAATAATAATAATAAAATAATAAAAATTAATTTAAAAATAAAAAAAAATGTATCCTNATTGAAATTTTTTAAGTTTTTAGCATTTTTCTGGCTAATTTAGAATCATTTACAGATGCATTTCTAATTGTTTATATACTCATTAATTGTTATTTTTATTGTAAAAAAATCTAATTTTTTACGATAAATTGAAGGGTTTTTTTTCTTAAAATATAATTTAAAATGTCATTAATTTTTTTTGTGATATTTCAAGAGTTTTTAACAATCCTTTTTAACGTCTTCATCATTTTATGAAGAATTGTAAAGGGAACTTCTTTTGTTTCATTTAATTATTATATAATATATATATATTTTTTTAATTTTTACTTTTATTAAAACTTTATTTTAATCCGATTTTATACTTAAAACATATAATAAAAAAAAACTTAAACAAAAAAAGAAAAAAACAATATTAAATTATAGACACTGTAAGACTCAACTTAAGTATTTTGCTTACTCTCATTGATAATTTAAATAATTGTAAGTAAAAAAAAAGATAGATTTAATGCTTAAAAATAAATAAATAAATAGATTTTTTTTAAAAATAAAAATTTTTATTATAAGAAATTAATTAAGAGTATATTAATCCTTATACTTTAAAAATAAAGAAATTTTTCATTACTTCAAGGATCATTAATTATATAAAATTCTTTTGGAATAAGTAAAGTTTATACGTGTAAAACAAAAAAAAAAAAAAAAAAAATACTTTCAAACAAGTAAAAGTGGTGTAAAGAATAAAATTAAATCGCAGAGGTGACATTAATTATATAATATCCTTTACAGTGATGACGATACTGTCAAGTTTATTATTAATATTTATTGATTTATAACTGAATAAAACGTATCCTAGGTAAATTTTTCACCTATATTTTATAATTTGCATGACTGGCAACGGTTAAGTTAAAAATTTGGGGCATTTATGAGGAACCCTCCCATTCTCATACATAAGGACATCATTTAGAAATAAAAAAAAAAAAACCAACCACAGAGACAACTAAATTGTTGTTATTAGGGATCCTCCCAATGGAAAATAATGCATTTTGATCAAAATTCTCTTAAAATATTTTTGTGCTCTTTCACAAAAATATGATATCAACTTATGAATAAACTATTTTTAGATAAGAAATTTCGATATTTTTGACATAAATCATTCAGTTGACTTTATGCAGAGACGTATTGAGATTTTGCATTAAATCTACTTATCATTTACTATAGATTTTAATAACAATAAAAAGGAGGAAAAAAAAAACATATTTTAATATATAAATCGGGAACTAATTTAAAAAAAAAAAAATTATTTCTTTATTTTAATTTTCTATAATAGAAACCATTAAATGAATCTTAAAAGATTATGATTGAAAGGTGTTAAATATAGAAAGAATTATTGGCCTATTTTCTCACATGTAATAAAGACAAAAAACAAAAAAGAAATTTGATAAAGGTTATTCAATTTCGTGTAGAGCCAGTTTTGTTGTTAAATAGTCATTTAAAAACATAAAATTACTAAAAATTTCTCACGTCTCGAAGGTCGAAATTATTTAAGATTTTCCTTAAAATTATTCATTCAAATATTAAAAATTCTCATACCATATTAAATTGCTAGTAAATAAGTGAGAAATTTAGCATTTTTCTTTACGCTTTTTTTTTTTTCGGACAGAAAAGACAATCCAAGTTCCCACAATGATTATATTTAAACGTGTTGAAAAGTATTAAAGAAACCGAGAAAGATAAAAACTATTGGCACAGTTCCACAATGTGAAATACTCCTACTTTACAACCTCTTATTTCGTGAGATGTAGAAGAAATAAAAATAAAAAAGAAAGAAAGAAAAATAAAAAATAATATGTTATCCTTGCCATTAGTCATACGTTTCGTGTAACGATATATGTTTTGTTTATTATTAATAACAACACCTGTAATAATGAACTATCATCGAGAAAGTCCTGTACTTAATATAAATTGAATACACTACTACTACTACTACTACTACAACGATGTTTTTTATGCTTAAATTACTTTCGTAAGTAAAGCATTTTCGTGTCTACATCACTAATCAATATTTTTAGTGTTGATCTGATGTATATTTACACAGATAATTCTTTATAAAATACAGTCGACCCCCCCCCTATAACACTGTTGATAATTCCGTTTTATATGAATTCCATGTTGTACGAGTCACTTAAATTTTACAAATACGTGTGCCGGGCTGTAAACGGTTCACGTATTTGTAAAATTTAAGTGACTCGTACAACATGGATTTCATATAAAACGGAATTATTAACAGTGTTATAGTAGAGTCGACTGTATTATTATTATTATTATTATTAAAAATATTAATGAATGTTATCTGAATTATATTTGATTTAACTTTAATTGTTTTGTGAATAATAATAATAATAATAATAATAATTTTCGATTTTTCTCATTAAATTTTACGTTTTCGTTTACGAAAGTTATCCGATCTACTTATATAAATGTCATCACGTGATACTATTGTTAAAAATTCCGGGAAAGTTAATTTTAATCCATTGTTTCCCTGGATAGGAAAAATATCAAATCATTTCTCATCCACGTGTTTTAATAATATTCCATATTATTGTGCAATTCTAGTTTGAAAAATTTGTTACGAGGGATATCATCTTGTAGTGGTCCTTATCTAGAAAACAATTAAAATTTAAGAGGTTTTTTTTTTTTTTTTTTGTTTTAATACGAAAATTTAAACAATAGCCTCTTTAAATTTTAATTATATACAAAGGATAAAAGAATTATAATTTAAATAAAGTTTTAATTACAAGCTGAAACATGATAAAATAATTTTACTATACGAATCTAAGAAGACTTTTACATCCATTTTCCCTTCTAAATGACAACTTTCAAAGTGATAACTAACTTAGTACTAGTTAGTGCTTTGAGAGTTGTTCATTTAGAAAAGGGGAGAGAGAAAAAAAAAAACACATAGAAGAAATGGTACGAGGGAAAATTCCCTAGAGAATTCGTACAAACTGAATTCGATATCAGCAATACAGCAGTAAAAAAACAAAAAGGAAAGGTATTAAACTAATATATAACCACGATATAGAGGAAATTTATATTTATTTTGTTTAATATTAAGAAGAATTTTCTAAAATAAATTTTTAAAGATTTTTCGTAAATTTAATTTCTGTAAATAACTATTTAAAAAAGAAGAAGAAGAAAGAAGAAAAAAAGAAATGTGAACTCGTTAGATTCTAGAATTCTATTTTGACTCTTGAAAAATATAAAGTGGAGAAAAAAAAGTAGTCTTTACTTTTTGTTATCAGTCTGAAAACCTGAAGTTAGAATTTTAGAGGCGGGTCACGAAACAAAACGACAAGTTTACTAAGAAGACGGTTAAGAAAATACCTACAGTGGTTTATATAAGTATAATAAATGGGGAATATATTTATTTCTTTATAACTGCAACTTTTTTTGAAAGGATAAGAAATGGTCGACTCATTGTTTTCTTTAAACTAAACTCTAAGAAATAGTAGAATTCAGGTTTTATAATTGAGTAAATTCTAAGATAAAATTATACATTTCAACGAGAATTATATTTACGCGAATAAAACGTAACGTTATCAATCGCTTCAGGAAGAAGAAAGAAAAAAAAAAGTTATGTAAATTGCCTGAAAATAACCCACAATTCGAATATAAGAGTAACAAGAAAGAAAAAAAAAATATATATATATATATATATACTGTGTATATATATTTTTGCAAGTCAAAATAATCGATTGTATGGAGAGGGAAAATACTTTAGAACGATTTAGAAAGTCTCCTTGTATTTTTATGCTGCTGCAAGTTTCATTTTATGCGATTTTCTTAGTCGTTGCCTTCGGCATTAATGCTAACATTCAACAAATAAACTCTAACAAACCTAATAGAGTTATAGTAAAGAAGAGAGACATAAATTGAATCTTTACATTTAAATTTTATGATAAAATACAATAGTTAATTTAAATCGTATAATCAAAATAATTATTATTATTAAAAGTTAATTATATAATAAATAAACTNTTCTTACTAAAACGAAATTTATCTTACAATTCTTCACCTTTCAGCTTTAAATTTGGTTTTTAAAGCTCCATTTTTTCTAAAAAAAATTCACAAAAAAATAATAATAATAATAATAAATTCTATATTTTATTAACACTTTACTCCATATAAATAATATAATTTTAGAACAGGCTAAAAAAAAAGAAAGAAAGAAAATGGCTGACTAAAATACAATTTTAAAATATTTCAACTTAAATTATCTAATATTTAAATAATTAACCAAATAAAAATTCAATTATGTAAATTTTCGGGAGAAAAATCTTAATGACCACATAACATAACGTGTTAATTAAGTTCTCTTATGAATTTATTTTATTTTATTTTATTTTTTTCCCCTCTACGAATCTCGAACTGGAAACGGTAATTCCCCTTCTACCACGCAACATCGTTTATGCATTTTTATATATGGAGAAAATCATACAATTGGAGCGGAAATAGTATAGGGAAAAATCCTTGAAAATGACTTCTGTCAACGCATTTTATTTTTTTTTCCTAGTGAAAAATGGTTCCTCGTTTCACAAGTGGAAAAGTGTTAGAGAGAGAGAGAGAAGCAGATGTTACTTCCGCTCTCACATCTTCCTTCTCAATCCAGAGATTGCAAATTTCTAACATTTTCTCTAAACTGAAGATTGTATTTAAAATGAATGTGGAAGAAAATCTGGTCTGACAAGCTTGTGGACGACCTTGACATCGTCCCAGTTAGTTCCAAACCGCCTGGTTATATTGCTAGACATCTCCGAACAGAAATGAGGTAAGTGTGCGTTGTCTTAGAATTTAAATGGTGCAATCCTTCCATCACTTAAATCAAAAATCACTAAATCTTCAAAATAATTATATAATTAATCGATTATTAAGATATTTATCGTTTGCAAAATATTTACATGCAAATTACCTTGTCGAATTTATTACTTATCCTTCTAAAAATTTTAATGCATAAGACTTAGAGAAGCTCTAAAAAACTTAATGATTTATGATTTAATTATTAAATTAATATATATTTTAATTTTAAAATTAAAATATATAAATTAATCCGGGATTAAAATTATTATGTAACTATAGTATATAAAAACAGGTATATTGGAAGGTTAGANTGGCTCTTATCGCTGATAGAATGGTATATTATTTTCTCTTCTCTTTTTTCATATTAAGGAAAAGTCCATAACAATGCAGCAGATAGGATTTGCATGAGAAGCACAATACGTGAGCAATCTCTAAGAGTCGATAATCAGATTTCTCGCTTTAATCCATCTATTTTTGGTATTATTATATGCTTTTTATTATCGTTAGGACTAAGAATTAGAAAAATTCGATGTAAAATAAAAATAAGTTTAGAATAAAGTAGGAAAAAAATATATATATATATATATATATATATATATTTAATAAGGTCATTAAGACCGGAATAGAAAAGACATTGACTAAAGCCTGTAAATGAACTATTAAAGAAGCTGAAAAAGATCCGAATTTCTAGGAAAACATTGATTTCATGCTTGAAAGTTTATGAGTTGGAAGGTCGTGCTTGACAGAAATCAAGAATGAAAGAAAAAAAAATTTGAAAAAATAAAAATAAATAAATAATATTTCATTTATTATCGAGTAGAAAGAAGTTTTAAAAATTAACAATTGTTTGTAATATTCGTTTTAAAACAGGTTGTGATTACAAAAATGAATAATTAAATGAATTTTTATGTGGATTTCATTTTAGAATTTCTCAATTTAAGCTGAATTAAATGTAAAATTTATTTTAAAAAAAAAATACTTGAATTACATTACATTCAAAACATTCTATAGAATTTTCTACTTTATTTTTCCATGTAATATTTAAATTAAAAATAATAAAATAAAATAAAAATTAGGCGTCGAAACTTTTAGAAATAAGGATTTAATTCTTTTAAATAAATTATTAAAAAAAAGAAAGAAATTTCATAAAAGATATTAAATTTTATCCAAGATTAAACATTACAAAGTATATAGGCCTATAATGATTTCTAACGTTGTAGTTGTGAATATTTAATAAACTAAAACCAATTGCTTCTTTGTATACCTAACACGATTTAATTCCTTGTGAAATTCATTATAGTTTGCATGCAGAAGTCTAGTTTATTATTTTAACAAACGATTATGTGATTCTAAATCTTCTAATAAGATTATAGATAATTTCATTATTCAAGAATCTGAATAAGCTTCAATGAATATCATAAAGATTATTCGATTTTCTAATAGCTACTGAACATATTCAGAGATGAGAATGATCTTAAGGTATATGAAGAACATTGATCTGAAGCACAAATAGCCTTAAGCATTTATATAAATACATATATATATAAATGATAAATGAAAATATATTTCACCTATTTATATATTTCACCTTGTTCTTTCTTCTGAGGAAATTAAAAAATATATAAATTTCCTATAATATTAATATTAAATTCGAAATTCCGGAAGTAGATGATCTAATCTAAAGTTCATTGTTTCTTCGACTTTCAATTAAAGAATGTTAGACTTCCAGGTTCCCACCCAATACGATGCCCCACCCTTCCTTAAGGCAAACATGTGGCCCGATTTCGATGATCAAGATGTAAATACTTGGAATAAGTCCAAATAATTTCAATGATTCTGTACTTATATATATTAAAAATTTCAAATTATTTTTCACAAAAATATACATTAATTATTTTATAAACTGATGAAACAAACAGTTAAATTAATAATACAAAAAAAATTAATACATTTAAAATCTATTTTAAGTAGAAATTAGCAATCAAACAAGCTAAAACAGAAGCTTAAAGACACGTAAATATTCTAACAGTCTTTACAAGTAGACACGCTCCAGTTACAGATGTGTGGATTTATGAGGTAAAGCCAAGAAATCTTCATCAATTTATCATCTTAAACTTCCATTTTGTATATATTTGATACATATTTAGAATGTTTCCTATACTAAAAACACATTGATACAAAAATAATTTGTCCTCATCTTCATATAATTAAAAGGTAATAACTATTTACATTCTAGTTATTCGAGTAATTCTAGTTATTATATTTTTGGAAGATAGAATTAAAACTAGATATGTGGATTATTTTCCTGTATACTTTATAATATTTTCCCCCTATTTTCTTGGGTCAATGTCATATATTGGCCTTGTTTCTTATAATTTTTGGAGCTCTTATTCGTTTAAAATAATTTAGAAAACTGATACGATAAAACTATTCAAAAATTATTATTATTTTCCCCCACAGAAAGATCGATGAATGGAGGGAGTAAAAAATTTTAACTCAATCGACGTAAAATGACATCTGGCACGTGCATCGATAACGTAACGACACTCATCAATTTCACATTCATTCATTTTTTTCCCCATTCACTCGCCATTTATTATTATTATGAATGTAGTTATATTTTNGCAATAATTATTATATCTTCCAAATATTTTTTTTATTATATACATAAAAAAAAATTCGCCCTAAGGGTGACATTTCAAAATTAGTTCTCTGATCACTTCTTTATGCAAGGTTCTATACTTAAAATATTGTCGTATAATATTAATTTTTAACGTCAGTAATATTTATGATATTAAGATATGATATTATTCTAAAAAGTCTTCTAATCTATGACGTTGCTCGTAAATGTACTATTAGAATATTTATATATTTATATATATAAAAACTTACCTAACTAAATGTAATTATAGAAATTGTTATAATTGCTAAGATTGGTGGAAAAAAAAAAAGAGAGAGAGGAATGTATGAGAAGTCGTATTACAGCTTCTGATCGAATTTTAGAGCTTTAAATTTAAGAATAAAGTATTAATATTTATGCACAGGTCCTTGAAGACATTGGTTATTATCACCATTATCATAAATTATAAATATTAATTATATCAATAATATATTAAATTGCTTACACTTTCTTTCGACTTTTAATGCCTTCTAGTGAAACCAGTTCTCTGTATGATTTCTTAGAAACTTATCGTGAATTTTTCCTTCCATTATCTTTTTTTTTTTTAAGGAGTCGATGTTGAAATTTTCACGTAAGATTAGCATTGAGCTCATCGTATCTTGTGTAATTATTTCCTAGACTGGTAATATATACAATTTTTATCTCCCATTCTATAACGTAATGGTATTAAAAATCTAATTTTAGTAACTCGTACAACATCGAAGCCGATTCTAAAACTATTGTATGAATGGATTTTTATTCCGGGTTTAGAATGTTTAATAATAGAAACAATAAGCCGTTACTAAAATTAATATTTTATCACGAAAAATAATTAACTGGTTAAGTTAATACTTAATCTACAACAAAACCGAGATAATTAATTCGGTGATGATGATGATGATGATAATAATAATAATAATAATAATAATAATAATAGGGTTTATATATATTGCTTATCATTATAGTATTAAAAGCAATAATGGGATGTCAATCACGAATGATGTTCGTTTTGGCGTGTAATTTAATTTCATGATTGCATTCTAGGAAATCTTACAATAGAGGGAGATGGATAGACACTGTTCCTTGTCTATCTAAACACACGATAAAAACAGGTATATTGGAAGGTTAGACAGAAAAATTTTTGTGCGTGTTTTAAATAATAAATGCTTCATTTAATGGAGATTTTTATGCTTAACATAAATAAGAGCCATTCAAGTTTAATATAATGTGACATTTTAAGTAATTAAAAAAATAATTGTTTAGGGATTATAATAATTAAAATCACCTTTCTGTCTTATCCTTTTCCATCATACAATATAAATGTATACAGGTATAAAGAGGAAGATTAAGTAGTTTTAAAATGAATACAACTGAAATTTAAAAAAAAAAGAAAAATTACATAATTTTAATTATAAATTTGTCATTATATCACCTTATTCAATACTCATAATTCTATACATTTGATTTATCTTTGATATTCAAATAGAACTATCTATTTTCTAAAGTAAAAACTAGACGTGACCTTGCTTAGAAATAGTCCCAGATCTATTAGATTAAATGAATGTTATAGTCGAAATTAAAACTCAATTAGAATAAATATATTCTATTACAGTTTATTACCATCTTAACATGACTTTTGTTTATTTTAAAACACTTTTATAACGATATAAGATACACTCATTGAAAAATTTTATACACTATCGTGACATTTCAAGAATTTTCTAAATTTTTCTATAAATCTCATTTGGTTTTATATTACAATATAGATTTATTTTACGAACAAAGTAAAGTTAATTCACTATTCAGCTTCTAACAAACGAGAAAAGAGAAAAGAGAAATTTCATTTTCTTCTTCGTTTTCAAGTAATCAAATCATACGTCTTCTATAATTTAATTTGACTTAATTTTATTAATAAATTATTTAAAATTATAAACAGATTATTTATAAAATTAAATCGTTATATAGTTTATCGCTTTAATAATTAATTTAATATGTAATATATTAAAATTCATTTTATCTTGATATAATTATGAGTGACATCATATTTCTAGGATGCTTGAAAGTT